AGCATCAGCGCACTTTGCCAAAGTGAGATTTATTGTCGACAGGTGAGAAGTCGCCCTTTCAAATGCTCGTATAGGGCTTGAATAATTTGTGTACATTTGAGGCCTGTTTGCAGTAAGCGTTGTTGCAGAGCCTTTCGTCATCCAACGTTTGTGTGTGCATTGGAACACATTTGCAGTTGCACTGGTCTGAGAGTTGTGATCCTTGGATCAGAATGTGTACATTGATTTTGATTCTACAATTAAAGGCCGATGTACACCTTTCCATGCATAGGTTCCACTTTGCAAAGGCTGGATCCGAAGTGCACAAGTGCGGCCCCTCCAATTGTCCGGAGAGCTACTGCGGACTACACTGGGTGAACACGTCGGCCGTGGAGTCGGTCAACAGCTTTCTCAAGGGCTTTAGAAGTCTGGGGTGGTATTCAGGGCTTGACAACCTCATGGTGATACTGCCTCTGCTCCTCGGCGGCTATAACAGCTCTTTAAGACGAGTCGACGACGCCAAGATTAGCATCGCGATTGGATCGGCCGTTTGGGTGGCTGGGATTCGAAGAAGACTTTTGCTAGGCTAGCAAGGTGCGAAAAAACCTTGTAAGCTGTTTTGTGTTGTGATACAAACGTTGATACAAAAATCAAGGACTGTATCAGGCTTCCGAAGGCATATTGAAGGGGAGATTGAAAAGACGAGAGCGCTTGCATGGTTGTCAATGATAGGCAACCGCGATCTTCTTTCACTCTCATTTGCATGTGCCGCAGCGAAGAGGGTTCCGATGGTGCTGAAATGAGTGATACAGCTGATACAACCTTCTTGGCATTTGTGTCTCGCTCTCGTAACAATCCAATTTCAATTCAAAAAACAAACTCTACACCTTTATGATGTATCTTGTATCACCTGTATCAGCCCCTCACCGTCACAAATTGTAAGTAACCACCACCAATATGCGCTTTAAATGATTGATGAACAAAAAATGGCTCACAAATCCAACTAACTTGCATCGAGGCGGCGCTTTGCTTGTACAAATGGGCCTTTAGATGCTGATACACGCCCGACCAAAAGGTCAAATTTGTTGTATCAGGTTGTATCAGGCCTTTTTGTCGCTCGCTTGTGCCACTTCCGCCTCTAACTCTACCTCGGTCTTCAAGCGAATGCCAAAGAAGCCTCTTCCTCGCTTCTTTTTATCCAGCGTTCTGATCAACGGAGCGTTTCCCTCCCCTGGAAGCTTTTGCAAGAATCCCTTCAAACACATTGCTCTTGTCAACGACCTATCGTCTGCCAAGCTCGTGTCATGCCCGCCGGCACACAAGAAACTTCTGAAGGCGTCAACAAAATCGGACTTGGCAACGCTGAAATCCGATGGCTCCCCAATCTTGCAGGCCTCGTCAATAAAGACTTGAAGTTTGTCGTTC